GCCCGACCAGTGGTGGGCGGTCGGTCGGGCGGGCGGCCGGGCGGGGACCCGGCCCGGGACCGGCGGCGCGCGGCGGCCGAGGCCAAGGTGAGTGGCGGCGGCCGCGGGTTGGGGGCTCGATCTCCAGGCTCGCATTGGCGGGCTGCCTTGGAGGATACGGAGCTGAGGATTAATGGGAGGAGGCGCGAAGGCAGGAGTCGAGGGAGCGGGAACGAGCTTGGGGGTCGTGAAGGGGTTGCTGGCGATGGGGTGGGAGCGGGATGGTTGAGGAGAAAGTTGATGGGAAGGGCCTGGTGAGGGAGTTTACGGGTGGGGAGGGAGCAGGTCTTGTGGCTTTGAGCAGCTTCTCTGGAGGACGTGGCTTTAGTGGTAGTTGGGGGGTCGCAGGAAACGGGGCTAGGAGCGGGGAGGCAAGGAGGCGGGGTTGAGAGGCCCAGGCTGGGGACGTGGGGCAAGGCCGGTGGGGGGACAGCTGAGATGTGATTGAGGGAAACGGTATAGGACGGCCTGGGACCGTCTGCCTTCGGTGGACGGGGTAGGGAATGGTTCCTGGGGGAGGGAGGCGCCTGGGATTCAGTGGGTGCTCAAATCCTGGAGGTCTGAACTCCCTGCTGTGGAGGCCGGCGGAATGGGGAGGGGGGAAATGGGGGATGGGAGAGGGGGAAAAAACTGTGGCACGAACTGAGGGCCAGTTGGGGTGGGGGGGATAGAGAGGAGAGGAAAGGACAAGAGTGGCCCTGTACAGACATTGGGGTGCAGCCCATATCATTTGGGGGGTCCCCTTTCTCTCTGGATTCTCCTATTTCCCGACTTCATCCCCAACCACTGGGTAACCGGAGCGAGTCCCAGTGCCCTCTAGGCTGGTGTTCTGGTATTTGGAAAACCACACCACTCTCCTAGGACAGGGCTGGCTGGAGCCCTGGGGTCCCAGGGAGCAAAGAAGGAGACTCCGGACCTCGTTGGGGGCCCGGAACTGGGTTTAGGGGGGAGGGAACGCGTGTGCTAAGCTGTCACCACCTCCTCGGAGTTGCATCCTTGGACTTAAATGGGTAAAACGACATACAGGAAATCTGTCCCCCGGCGGCGGCGGCGGCGGCGGCGGCGGCGGCTGAGCTCACAGCCGGGGAGAGGCAGGGCAGCCACGGCGGCAGCCAGCAGCAGCCAGCCCACATGCGCTCCCTCCTCTCCCTTCGCTCCCGGGCGCCCTGTAGGCTAGGGGACTTTAAAGGAAAGCCTCTCTCACTCACACCTCTTTGTCTGAGGTGGGAGCTGGTGGGGACGTTGTGTCTTGCAGGTGGAGGGTCCCAGCTCCCACCTTTCTGAGGTGTATTCTGGCCTTGGAGGCTCCAGTCTCTTAAGGCATCCAGGAGCAGCGGGGGGACCCCTTGGGCATCTGAGCTGGGAAGTTGTTTCATCGTCCAGTGGGCCGGCTCTGGCAAGGGCCTTGCACTGGGCGGTTTTAATCAGCATTAATTTCTCTTCTTTCCCAACTGTGGGGGATCCTTGTCCGGCATCTGCCAGAAGCGCTGGGGAGTCTGGGTTTATAGCTCATTCAGGAGGTGAATCTGGGTAGATGGAATGTAAAGAGGGCCACACAGAGATATCTGCTCCCTTTACTTCCAGAATGTTCTGGCCCTTATGGAAGGTAGCTTTTGGCCTTGCTTGGCCCAGGACACATTGTCAGAGCCCAAAGTCACGCCTTCTCCAGACATTTCAGTGTGGGCTTGCCCTGGCCAGGATGCCGCCCCCCCCCCAATGAACAGGACTGGAATCTTCTGGTTGCATGGCCCTGGTCGTTGTCTCCCTGGAGCACAGCCAGGCAGGCTTTCACGGAGGGTCCTGTGTCTGGGGTCCTGACCTTGGTCAAGTCTCTTTGTCTGTGTCTTCACCTGCAAAATGAATGGATTGGCCTCAATCAGCATTTCTCAACCTTAAAACCCAAGCCCTTTTCGATAACCTTCGTGTCTCTGGCATACAGCCCCCTCGTATTTTATGCAGTCCCTGACTTCAGTGATCCCAGTTTTGTTCAACTTTCCATTGTATGGTTTGTATCCAAAAGACGATCTTTTTACTGCTCCTTTATCTTCCACACAGAAAATTCCACAAATTCCACCTTTGCTTTTGCACGTTACACCTGCTCCCCGAGCTTCCACTGGATCTTTCTGGTTGGAAGTCGTCCCTGAGACCCTCTCTCAGTTCCAGGCCTCTGGCTCGGAGAAGAGGGCGGAGACTTGGGAATGTCCCCTTTCTGTTTGGCTGTGTGGTCTGTTTTCTGTCCCCAACAGGGGCTTGTTAACTTGCCACTTCCCTTTCCTTGTCTCCCCCCGCCCCCCCCCCCGCCAAAGTTGTGTCTTGGGTGAGCTTAGAGTTCAGTTAAGCCAGGGCTGATCCTTCCAGCACTGGGGGCTAGGCCCCAGGGACAGAGATGAGCCCTCATGCCCTGGAGGAGGGACATTCTAGTGTTCTCCCTCCCCGAGGAATGATGAAATTCAGAGTGCGTGGTCAGCGCAGCAACAGAGGTGGCGCAGGAAGTTGTGAAGACAGAATCAGGGATAAGCAGTGCAAGCTTTGGGGCTTGGGCGAGTTCTGGCAGGTTTCCTTGGAAGAAGTGGCAGGGTCCAAGCCAGGCCTTGAAGGATATGGAGGTGTTCAGTCCAGCCAGGAAGAGGGAATTGCATGAGCAGATCCCTGCACAGCTCCGCTCTTTATTGAGCATCTTCTGTGTCGGAAGCTTTTATACCCATCTCTTTTATTCTGCCAACCAGCTGTAAGCGGTCTGGGTTCCTCTTTTCTCAGTATGGAAACTGAAGCTCAGTTTCCATAGTGGCGACCTCAGAGATGGTCCCCTGGGCTTTCCAGAAACATGAAGGATCATTAGAAACCTCCAACTGGCAAAGACCAAATTGCTAGAGCATGTTTCTCAGCTGCAGCACCATTGACATTTGGGGCTGGGTTATTTTTTGCTGTGGAAGCCACGCCACGCATTACAGGGATAGCAAGCAGCATCCTTGGTCTCCACCCACTAGAGGTCAATAATACCCCTCAAGTTGTGCCCACCAGATGTGGCTGTGGGTTTCTTGGGGCTCAAGAACCACCGCTCTGGGGTGAAATCTGGTTATTGCCCCAGGCCTACCTTTGCCTCGGTGACTCTTCGGTGTTTGATCCGCTCCCAGGGAACGGCAGCCAAGGGCAGGCGTGGGGTAGAACGGCCAGCAGCTGAATTCTGCCATCTGGTCAGTTCTTAATCTAGAGTCCTGATAAAAAGGAGACACGGTTGGGAAAGGACTGAGGGGGAGTGAGGCAGCATGCCCCAAGAATGGACAGCAGAGGAGGACCAAGAGGTGAGCCAGGGCCATCTTCGCTCACTGGGACAGCAGATGCCATTGTCTTTCTCTTTGTCTTACAACTGACCTGGATTTCTGCAGGAACCGTCCCTCATCTCAGAACGAACTACTGGTTTTCTTCCGAGATTAGAGGTATTAGATTCTCTTCTCGAGAGCTACTTTGGAGGTGGCCCCAGATCAGCATGGCTCTTGGCCCCAGACGCTGGAACGTCCTCAAGCACAGACTGTCTAGCTTTTGCTCTTTGTGCATCCTTCTCTGCTTGTTCCCCAGCCATGCCATAGCTGCTTTAACTCCACGGGAGGAAACAGCACGTTCTGGGGCCGCCCGACCCCTTCTGAACATTGCCCTCCCCCACCAGTCCCCATCCACCAGCCCTTTGTGTGCCCAGCATCCCTGACCAACTGTGCCAGGCAGCCCCTGCTCGGCCTCCCCGCAGAGCAAGACAGGCCCTTCTCTCTGCCCTCCTCCGGACGGACAGCATAGCAGAACAAAGGGCTCTGTCTGAGCACCACCGGGTCCCCGACGGGCCCTGTCACTCTACCTCTTTTCAGTTTGGCCCAGAAGGGGCCTCGGCGATTAGGCACGTCTCAGAGACACAGCCGATGAGTTTGGGTTCTACTCATTTCCTCGTCGAGACTTTCTGAGCCCGTGGCTGATGATAAATAAAGTAGTGATTCAAGGGTTCGGCCTGCGGGTTAGTCGGAGCAATGAATGAGCTGTCCAGGTCTGACTCATTCGTTTATACCCTGCTCTGCCCTGCTTCAGCAGGGTTGCATGTGTGAGAGGGGACCCAGCTACAGGCATTTCATTTCTGTCTCTGCTGGGTGTACGAATCTCCCGGGGCCACTGTGACAAAGAACCACAGACCAGGCTGCTCAAGCAACAGAAATGCATTGTCTCACAGATCTGGAAGCTAGAAGCCCAAGATCAAGGTGTTGGCACTGTTGGTTTCTTCCTTCTGTGTCTGTGTCCTAATCTCCTCTTGTCAGGACAGGAGTCCTGTTGGATCAGGCCCACCCTAATAACTTCATTTTAACTTAACCATCTCTTTATTATTTTTTTTTTTTCAACGTTTATTTATTTTTGGGACAGAGAGAGACAGAGCATGAACGGGGGAGGGGCAGAGAGAGAGGGAGACACAGAATTGGAAACAGGCTCCAGGCTCCGAGCCATCAGCCCAGAGCCCGACGCGGGGCTCGAACTCACGGACCGCGAGATCGTGACCTGGCTGAAGTCGGACGCTTAACCGACTGCGCCACCCAGGCGCCCCTTAACCATCTCTTTAAAGACTCTATCTCCGACTCCAGTCGCGTTCTGGAGCACTGGGGAGTAGGGCTTCAACATGAGGAATTGGGGTGCGGAGGTGGGTGGGACCCACTTCAGCCCGTAACACTGGGTAAGGGACAAATTTCGTCTTTATTTAGTGAAGCAATTTTGGACGAACAATCACACCGGTAGAGTTCATCTTGTTGCGTCTCACTCATTTAAAGAAACGTTTTAAGGGAGGTGGCCAAGTTGGCCACATCAAGTTTGGAAGCGTCCCATTAGGAATCTTCCAGATCTCGCACACGTCCTTACGTTTGGGGTGACAGTAGACAGACAAGGACCCGGCTCGGGAAGAGCGGATCTCGTGGGACTTTACCAGGGGTGTGTTTAGAACCAGGCCTGGGAGACTGTGTGTGCCCACCTGGGGGCTGATGAAGATTTGTGATCGGGGGCGTATGGAGGTCTCTGGCCTCAGTGTTGCTACGGTCACAGGAGGGGGATCTAAGAGCGACTCTGTTAATGAACCAAAATGACTTTGGGACCAGCCGCTGCCATAGCTGATTTGACAAAAGTTTCCAGAAGATCTGAAAATCATTCAGCAAAAAGGGTTAACGAGGCAGGTGCAGAGCTGGCTTTCAGGGTTACCGTGAGAGCAGAACAGCCCTCGCCTCTTTCCCCCGAGTGCAGATGTCAGGAGTCATGCCCGCGGAGAGGCGCCCAGCACCCGGCGAGCTTGTGACCCGGTCAGGGCTTGTTGGCGGAGGAAGAGGGACACACGAGAGCTTCCCCCAGCAAGCCCTGGCAAAGGTCGTCTCCCTCGGAGGCCGATGCCACCGCATCCTTGCAAGTGTAGTCAGAGCAGTGCGTCAGCGGCAGGCCCGCTGGGGCTTTGCCCCGGTCCTCCTGCTCATCTCTCTGAGCATCTCCATCCCGTCCTAGGATGGGTGGAACAGAGGGAGTGGAGGGGTGACATTTGAGATGTCGCTTCTCAGGTTTCTGGGATGCACCTGGGGCTTTCATTTCCTGGTGAGCAGGGTCTCCGGCCACTGCTGGGGAAGATCCCTGGGATCCTCGCCTATACGTGGAGATGCTACTTATCAGGAGCTAGTGGGAGAACAGGTGGCACAAAAAAAGGGCAAGAGGCGAGCCCAGCCCGTAGGCCCTTGGGAAGCCCGTGTCTCCCCTAGGTGGTCCCCGAGGAGTCTGCCTGTTGGCTTAGCAGGGAGCCAAGATGAAGGCACGGAAGCTAAGGGATGGGGTGTCAGGTAGAGAAAGGAGCCTGAACTGGCTGGGGCAGGTGTCCGTAGGCCCCCGCAGCTGGTGTGGTCCCCCGACAAGGCCGGCTCGCTCTCGCTCCCTCGTTCTGAATATTGTGCAGTAGGTGAACTTGGGCTTGGAATCTTGCTGATGTCTGCTGTGCCTGGGAGGCCCTGGGGACACCCCAAAGCGTGTGAACTTTGCTCTTATTTAAAGCACAGTTTCTCAGCCTCGGTATTGGGGACACCTGAGCTGGGTCCTTCTCTGTGGTGGGGACTGTCCCGTGCGTGTTGAACAGCATCCCTGGTCTGTCCACCCACTGGATGCGGAGCAACCCTCCCACCCCCCGAGTCTTGATAAGCTAAAATGTTTCCACATACTGCCAGGTGTCCCCTCAGAGAAAAGTCAACCCCAGAATGAGAACCATTGGTTTAGGGGTTCTGTGGAGTCTAGGAGACTTCACGTCCTGTCATTATGTTACTAGGGGCGCCTGGGTGGCTCAGTCGGTTAAGCATCTACTCTTGATTTCGCCTCAGGTCGTGATCTCACGTTTCGCGAGTTTGAGGCCCACATCTTGGGATTTGTCTCCCTCTCTCTCTGCCCCTCCCTGGCTCACTCTCTATCTCTCTCTCTCTCTCTCTCTCTCTCTCTCTCAAAAAAAAAAATTAACACATTAATTAACTTCAGTTAATTAATAGAGGTCCTAGGATGCTGCGTTCATGTCAATGCACCAAGTGGGGAGGGAGAGAGGAGGTATCTCACAGACGCCAGGAGGGAATCTGGCCCCGTTGTTGCCATGGTCACGGGAGGGGGATCTAAAAACGACTCTGTTGCTGAACCAAAATGACTTTGGGACCAGCCTGTTGCCATAGATAATTGGACAAAAAAAGTTTCTGGAAGATCTGAAAATCATTCAGCAAAAAGCGATCCTTAGGAGGGATCACCCTGGCTTGTACCATCTAAGTCCCCGGAATTTATTCTGGTGTGTCTATGAGTTAGGGACGTAAATCAATATTTTTTTCCAACTGATGAACACAGTGTTTCTTGACCTCAGCACTGCTGACATGTAGGGCCGGGTCATTCTCGGTGGTGGGGACTGTTCTGTGCCTTGTAGGGTACCGGGCAGCATCCCTGGTCTCTCTCTACCCCCCTGGATGCCAGTAACTCCCCCTTCCCCGGGTGGGAACAATCACAAAGGTATGTCTCCTGTCATTGCCAGATGTCCCCCGGGGCCACCGTTGGCCTGGGAGAGAGGAGGGTCTGAAAGAATGCTGAGCTCCAGGGCAAGAAGAGGTGGCTGAGACACTGTGTGTCAAACCTGTGACTGGCCCATGGGGACACCTTTGCCCCTGCCCTGTGGTGATGCGTAGATAGGCTGGGAGGGGAGCCAGGTGGGGGCTGTCACCAAAGATGCTGACAAGGCAAAACCCTGGGCTGTGGGCTGCCTGGGACATCTCACTGGGTCCAGAAGTGTAACCAGGATCATCACGGCAGAAACTGGGCCAGGGGATGGACTTTGTGACCAGGAGGAGCCCTTGCCCAGATGAAGGCCACGAGGCCCTGGGTCACAGGTGGAGGAGAGGAGGCGACTCTGGAGGCTGCCCGCCCTGCGGCCACACACAGGGAGGGGCCAGTGTGGTTGGTGATCAGTAACGAAGCCAGTTGCACGGGAACAGAAAACAAGGATGGGGCTCGAGGGTCTTGTTGGCAGGATAGAGGATCCGTGGTCTCCTCTCGGGTGGGAATGTTCTGAAGCGGATGGGGTGGTGATGGCAGGCCTCTGACCATAGTACAGACTGCTGTCCCAGGCGCTCCCAAGGCGTGAGCCGCATGATCTGTGGATTCTACGCCAGTAAGTCATGTTCAAAGGAAGAGTTTTATCAGAACAAAATGCCATTTTGAAGCGAAAACCAGTGGGCTGCCGGAAGGATCGAGTCGAAGGGGGTGTGTCGTTGAAGAAACCAGACCCAAGCGGGGCTCCTGGTGGCAGGCGATGTGGATTTTGAGGGGACAACAACAGCTCGTCTGAGTCTTTGGAGAGGTTAAGTGAGGAGCTGCTTTGTTCCAGGTTCCCGGAGGCTAATGGCTCTGTGGGCCACCAGTGGGGCAGGACTTGCTCCCCAGGCAGAGTGTCCCCACTGCGACAGGGGGCTCCACAGGAACTTGGCCCTGAGGCGGGGGATTCCCACGGGCCCAGGTGGCTGACCCGTACGGGGCACTTAGGCCAAGGAGTGGGCCCACTCTGTCCCTTGTGAGGGGCTGGCACAGAAGCCCTTTGAGCCCCGCCTGAGGTCCGTGAGGATCCAGACTGCCTTTAAGACCAGAGTGGGGCAGGGTGCGGCCCCTCCTTTTCCAGGGGCCTCTCAGCCAAGGTCTCAAGCAGGGCTTTTGTGTGTTTCTGCCTGGGCATAGCGGCAGGGGGACTGTGTGATTTGGAGAGGGACCCCCAAAGGGGTCTCTTCGGCCCATCTCAACCTTCTTCCCTGGGAGCCTTCCGAGTCTCCATTTAGGGAGCCCACTGGTCACCAGGGAAGGATCTGAAGCGCGGGTCCCCACAGGACCTTGAAAGCCTGTCTTACTTCCCCCTGTAACCGGAACTGTCCTGTGTCAGGCTATGGCCCGACCACAGCCACCAGCAATCCCCTCCCTCCTAGCCCCAGACACCTGCTGGAGCTGTGGACCAACAACAACCCCCCCGCCGCCGCCCCCATCCCACAGTCCACCTGCCACATACAGCCTAGCTGACCCCTTCCAGATGTCACTCTTGTCCTGGTTCTCACCGCTTCCAGCCAGCCAGGCTCCCCATCAGACTTGCATGAAAATTGAAACTCCATCCGTCCTGTCCCACGTTCGCAAAGCCCTGCGGGATCTGACCTTCCTGACCTCGGCCCTTCCCCCTCCAGCCTCAGCCCTGCTGGCCACACTGGTCTCCTTGTTCTGAGACCAGCCCCAGCTGCCCCTGCCCTTGGCGCTCACCGCCCTCGCCTAGGCGGCCCTCCCCAGGAGCTCAGTCCCTGTGCCCCCTCCCACTGCACAGGCATCAGCAACCATCTCCGATGAGTGCTTCTCTGCCTCCTGGTTCATCCAGGATGACCACCCTGCCCTAGTCAGTTTCTGTCCCCA